CAAGTACCCAAAGGTTTGAAAGTCACTACTCTACACTGTCACCACTGTCACTTTCTTTTCATTCCCACAGATACCCCTTTATTTGAGGTACTCACTGTTTCTCACCTACACTATTGCCATGACTTCCTAAGTAGATTCTCTACTTCCTGTTATTATTCAATCGAATTCTCTTCACAACCACTGGTGCACTAATCTTTCAACAGGGCATGGAAAAAAAACAACACATTAAGAATTCCTCATTGCCTTTCGAATTAAGCATAAACTATTAGTCTTGTTATCATGACCTCTCCATGCTGTATCTAATCATCCTTTACAGTCTTGTCATCCACAGCTAAGCTTCATATTCCATGCTCTACATTTTCTAAGTAAACTGAATGTACTCTCTACTGAACACTCCCTACATTCTTCGGCTTTCTCACAGGTTTATCCTGAATTATTATCTCCACCATGTTGCTAGAGTGGCTGCTAAATTCACTGAGCATACACTCATTCTTGGCACAATATCCATGAACATAACTCGCTTCACCATTAAACGGTAAGCTCCTTGAATCCATCACATCTTACCTAGCAATACAGGTACCAGAGAACCAGAGAACCAAACATTGTGATCTGAAATCCTACATGGCTGGTAAGAGATCATTCATATTCGTCCCTTTCCCCAACAGTTTCTTCATTACTCCCTAAGGATCTACCTCAACTATCATCTCTCCCAAAATGTGGACTCCCATCTCCAACTTGGCTTCTCCCAACATGAAGAGGGGCAGAGATGCCATAAGAAACAGGATTAAGTAGTCAATTTATTTCTGCCCTCTATGGATCTGTTTCCTGTCATCTTCTTTTCCTGATAGTATCTTCCCCACCATCACCCTGCTAAGCCACCATGTTCAGATGCCCTAAAACAAAAATAGATGTGACATGTCGCCTTACCCCATTGATTCCATCAACTTTACTCAGGGTTAGGAAGCTACCACTGATTGATTTTGTTTTTTAAGAAAATTTTAAATATTTTTTTTATTTATTTCTGAGAGAGAGAGAGAGCGCGCCATCATGGGCAGGGAAGGGTCAGAGAGAGAGGGAGATACAGAATCTGAAGCAGGCTCCAGGCTCTGAGCTAGCTGTCAGCACAGAGCCCAACGACCCAGAAACATGAGATCATGACCTGAGCTGAAGTCAGATGCCTAACCAACTGAGCCACCCAGGTGCCCCAACTACTGATTGATTTTGATAATTCTGACCATCCCCAATAAAATAGCCATTTTCTCAAACTGATTTCAAACAGATTACAAGAGATTAAGCATTCTCAAAGCAGTCAGATACTATTGATGAACCTCAATAAAATGGGAAGAGGTATAATGTATTTTAAAAATCATATTTAGAACAAGGAGAACTTCCCAGCATTTCTTATATTGGTCCACTTGATAAATACGTAAGGCTAGTCCATACAATCAATGGAAATAGCAAAGTCGTCTTCTTGGTCTCAGCCCATTCTAGCAGTGGCCAGAAAGAAAAAACAGCCATTCCTCCCTTTCTTTTTCCTATCCCTTTCTCTGTCAATTTTCAAAATTTGGCCATTCAAGGCTAACGTATAATATGATGTAAATAATCATTGATACTAATGATCTTACCATTTTGCAGCTATATAATAATATGTACTTTTTAAAATGCGTGCCTTTACATATACTAAGCCATTTAATCTATACCACAATTGTGAGGTTAAAATAAGACAGATATCAACTTACTACTTTTCTAGATAAAAACATGGCTCTGAGAGGTAAAGGGTCATATATATGATCACATTCCCAGAAAGTTTTGTGGCTTGAAGTTAACTTTTTCCTTGCACCATGCTGTTCCTCATTAATGGTTAAAAGTTACCACTGCAGAGAGCTGCATCTGATGAATAAATTCTCAATCCATCTAAACCGAGGACCCCAATGCTTACTGCTTTCTGGATATGTAATTTATTGTCATGAAGAGTCATTGCAGGATATAGAAACTTCATATTCTTCAGCAAACAATGAATCCAGGGATTGTCAATGAGTTTTCAGGATAAAATTCAGCTCTACATAACTACCCTTTCTAGTTGACCTTGAAAAGAATCCTGAAGTTAGTCCTTCCACTGAGTCACTTTTCTACCCATATATATTGCCAACCTACTTTAATTAAATTTATCATTGTCAATTTTCTCTCAAGTTATTCTTCTCAGGGCAACTCAACCATAAAATAGGCATACTCCAACCCAATCTTACCTTGCATAAACCCTACTTGGGTTTTAGGAGCTTGACTCTGAGATCAAAAGTCACCCCAGAGAATTCCAGAACTTCCAGAATCACCCTACTCCATAAGCAAACACACACACAGGTCATTATTTTAAATTCCTTATTGCATCAACAAAAGATCACTGGACTCTTAAGAGCTAATCCAACTCATTACTCCTCATTATAACTAATTTAATCCAGAAATTTGACACCATGTTCTATGGACATAACTTGCATCACTAGAACCTTACCACAGGAAGGAGAAACATACAAGGAAAGAAATCCACCCATTCAGGAACTCTCCTGTTACCATTTTATACATTCTGCTCTAAATAATAATCCTTGGGGCCCAGGAGGGTGCGATGCTTTCTTTTTAAGAACTACTTATCTAGTTTAACTCCTTTATCTTACAAACACTCAAATGGAATTGCAGAGAAATCACATGTTCTGCCTAATGCTGACAAAGTGAGGCCTGGAATTCAGTCTTCTGTGTCCAATACTCTTAATATTATACTATGTGATTGCTGGAATTACCTCATTAATTGAACATCTTCATGAAGACGGACTACTGTTAAGCACATTATATGACTGTAATAACTATTTAAGCTTGTGTTTGTAAACAGGTATTTTTAAGCAAGTATTTTTTGCATCCTTGCATATTTCCATACTCACTAGCACAGTGTAATGAATAAATCAGCAAAATGTCAGATAGGCTTTATCTCCATGTTTTTGGTTTCATCATGATGATAGGGCATAATTTTCTTTCAAAGCCCCACAATGGGATCACTATTGTATCCAGTCATCTTTATTAACTTAGAGAAAAAGGAGTACTTTGAAAAGTGACAATGTGATTCTCTTGTTAATTAATCTATAGTAGAAAATATTGATTTTAAACCTCTTTTATGCCATTCTTCATTAAGGAGGGGGAAAAAAGAGGCACATCAAGTGTCTCTCCTTATGCATGGTGTATAGAAATAACTGACAAATTTGTACAGAATACATAACGAAAATTCACAAACTTCTCTTGGCCATGCTAAGCCTGTCAGCTTCTGTCATGCTGGTTGAATTCTACTCATTTTTCAGCATCTACAAGTCACAATCTTGCGACATAACTTGTCTCAATGTACTACTGAAAACATCAAGAAAATAATACCCTGTTTTATCTTAAATATTCTAGAGCTAAGTGATATGTATAATAGGAAGAACATGAAACCTAGTAATGAAGGATTAGCATCCAGTTTTTAAGATGACTGAAAGAGCCTTTGGTTGTTTAGATATTACATGTTCTCACGATAATCTCTAGAAGTGAAAACAACCGTCTTAAGCAGCAGAGTAAATTCCTCCAAAAACAATTATATGCTCTGAAAATAAAATTTTGGAGCCTTTCAGATATTCTCCACGTGAGGACAGCTGCCTTAAAACAGCACATAAATGAGTATCACTAATTAGTTAACATAAACATTACAAAGAAGCAGCAATGAATAAAGGTAAGCTAATACCTTTTTGCTTTGGGAAAGTGAGCTGTGAAGGATAACTATGTTTCATGCATATAAAGTATTAGAAATTCATACCACGTTTCCATATATTTTGGAAACTCTTTTAAATATGTACTAGTACATGTAACAGCAATACATTGGAATGCCTTCGAAAATGTAGCAACTGTAAATCATGCTATTAAGGGTGTCCATATTTATCAAAATGATTTTCAAACGTATTCTCCTATTCTTCCAGGAGTCAGCACTTACCTGACATATGACATCATATTTTCTCATAAGCATTTCAAGAACGTTTTCCTCATTTAAGATTATTTATAGCAATTATCTGTATATGTAAATACATATATTTATATTACATACATTTTTGTGTTTGAAAGCATATCACATATATATTGAAAAATGTGTCAAATGACCTTTTAGAAGATTTGGGGATATTCCTTGCAATTTGACACTCACCCCAAAGAGTTGAATTTCTATATTTTTATGTATTTTTGCAAGCAACCTATTAGATATGATTTTTGTTTTCATTAAATGTTACACAAATATAAAGGAGTATCATGCAAAAGTTCCATATCCCCTGGTTCTTCATTAAATAGAATAAATATAAACAGACATATAAAATTACAAAATTAGTTTATATAAGCGCTGCAATTATTTGTTTTTATGGCTTGAGCACGTCATTATAGCCTAATGGATTGTGTCAAAGCAAGTATCGGCAATGAGCAAGAGCAAGTTAAATATACACACATACACACATGTGCACAACCAATAAAGAGATACAAACACCCCAGATCATGCAGGAGATGTACAAGGCCCCGTTTTGGATTTGCGATCCGTATTACACACAAGCAATAGTATATTTGGCAAAAGAAGTCAGCAGTGCTTTCCTTAGACGGATGTCTTTTGTGCTTTTGTTTGTTGCTGTTGGCCTGCAGCATGCTATTTGTTACTTTGCTGTAGGTTACCCCTGACAGTACATAAGTAAACCAGTACAGAATGCAGTTCTAGAATAGCTGTGGCATGAAAAGAAAAATGACAGAGAGAGGGAGACAGGGAGACTGGCAGAAGGGAGTGGGGAGAGATTGATCTCCCATGAGATTCAGTGGCAAAATTTCCTTAAATACATTTTGGCCTTCATTTTCGTTTTGAAAACCTTGCCGTGGGGGTCGCCTGCCCCCTTCAGAGTACTGCGCAACCTTCGCAAGAGATCATTTATCACTAGTTTCCACCTTGGAGCAGATCTTCCTACCTTTCCAGTCTTAATTCTGTGAGAAATGGCTGCAAATCGATGGTTGAGCTCTGAGATTTTGGGCTCTACTACTTTCCTGCAGCGGTCACCGCGGTTTGCCATCAGGTTTGCTGCTTGGTCTCGCGTGGAATCCACCTTTGGGCGTATGTCATTCATTTCAGCCTTTAAACGCTATATTCCGTGAGCAAGAGACAGGGCTTGAAGTTAGTAATGAAATGGAAGTCGAGAGACAGCAAGAGAGCGAAAAAGAGAAAGAAAGAATGAGCACATGCAGAGGAACACAGAGGGAGGAAAAAAGTCAACTTCCATCAAACAGAGGAGTAGAGTGCGTTTGTGTGTGATCTCAGGAATATTGGTTAATGTCCTTGTCTAAGTGTGATCTAGGCCTATTTAAAGTATTTACTGAGTCTGAAGAGGGACGAGGCATGTTTTCTTGACTACTCTTTGATGCCTGCATTGATTAATATTTTTTATTTAGTCTTATTTTATCTTCACTTTACTCAATTTCATAGCCGTGGGATAACCTTAATATATGCTTGGGAAGAGAAGCGCTGAAGAACAATTTTCTTTTCCTTCCTAGGTGTCATGGGGAAAAAAATGGACTTTCCAACGGATAAGAATTCGGTGTCAAAGAGGGGTTGACGAAGGTTCTGCCTGACTCAAGAGGTCAGAGAGGCTACAAGTGAAATAACTCAGCTCCTATTATTCCACAGACCTTGGAAGGAAACGCCACCGTAAGATGGTATTCCTTAACTACACATCAAAGGGCAAGAGAGAGCAAAGTAAGGTACACACAAGAGAGTGAATCTGTTTTGGGGATAGCCTGAAACATATCAACAGTCTTTCACTAAAAATGAATTGTAATCTTTAGAAAATAGGCATTTCATAAAAAAGAAATGAATGAATTATACAGACAGAAGCTACAATATTTGAGTGCTCTTTAAGTAGTAACCCACTAGTTAAAGACAATTCTCTCAGCAAAACAGAATAAGGACTCATTAATTTAAACGAAATTTGTTAAAACTCAAGGCGTCCTATTTAATTAAGATGTTATTGAATAGAGATAACAAAGCATCAATAAGAGAAATTCACACATTATACTTCTCATATCCTTTTATAGGCACCATCTTTAAAAAGTAAAAATTAAGTTGCCTTTGAGAAAGAGGACTTAGGATGTCGTAATAATTGGTTATAATACACAGAGAACACAGTCATGTTCACTTTACATATAGTAAAAAATAAAAAGCATACAGTTTTAAATAAATTCAATATTGTTACTAGTTACCAAGGTTTGGATTGCATACACAAGATGCCCAGATGATTGGATTTTAGGTTTTACTCACAAGGGGCTGTGGATGATATTGGAAAATGGATCCCTATGTTAGATATAAGAACGTTCTACTATTAATAGTAAAATGGGCAGAGGTTGGCAAAATGACACCAAAATAAATCCCGGCAACCCCTTCTCTTCAGAGTTTAAATTTCACGTAATGAGCTAAGAAGTGGACATGGACGGATATCCAGATTACAATACACTTCAATATTATTAACTCCCATTTGTATTAAGTAAGTATGGAGGGAAGGAAAGTATAAAGGGAGGAAGGGAGGAAGGAAGGAAGGAAGGAAGAATGTTTTCACTCTTATTAAGAAGTCCTTGATGATCGACATAATTATTGTGCAGTTATAAAATTACTTTTCATAATATTTTATTTGCTACCTTAAGTATGTCTTCTTTTTGCTGAGGTTTCTTTTTCTCAGATTCATCCAAAAGTGCATCAGCCTGAATGATCCATTTTGTGATGTAATCCACATTTTGGTCAAAGTTTTCCATGTGTTTCTGGTATTCCTTAATGTTACAGAGACATACCATATTACTGGTTAGACAATATTCTTAAAAGATTTGTCCTACTTTCCACAATATTAAAAGACACAAAAAAGTAGTATTATTCAAATTATACTTAGATGTGGTCTCCATGCAAAATACAGCATTGACATGGAACAATACTAAAATATAGTTGCAGATGTTGAATTAAGAGCAACCATTTATTTTATGTGGAGCTGAGGAATGTGTAGACACAAATATTATTATTCAAAGGATATGTAATTTCTTTCTCATAATAGAGAGGGCTTGAAAATCCTCTGGTCTCTTCTCTTACCAGCAAAAGGTTTAACCACTCTTCAGCTCGCGAAGTGACAGCCGTCCAGTTACTATTCAGGAGACTCAGTTTATCGTCCACCAAGGTCTCCTTCTTGCCCAAAACCACTTTCAAGGCCTCTCCTATCTCTGTGATACTCTTGAGGTGAACCTTCTGTTTCTCAATCTCTTTCTGAGTAGCCTGTGAAAAGGACAGCATTTTAGCTCGGAGTAATAGATTGTAGACTTAAGATTTCATGCTTTTAAAATGACTGCGTATATGGTTACTATAAGAAGATTTTTCAAGGATTTAAACCTTCAATGTGTCTTTATGGGTGATGAAAATTATACCACAAATATTATAGTTTCCTTATTGGGTATATATAAACACATATGTATATGTAAACATGACTAATTTATATTTATTTATGATTATAAACACTTAACAGATAAGCATACATATTGTCCATTGAAACATATTTATATTTACTTAATTTGTAAATATACTGAGTGAAGACAGACCTTAGAAACCTACTGACAAAGAAGCAACTGCTTTTATCAAAGTCGGTGATTACTGCACTCTTGCATTTCTAGCAGAAATTTGCAGCATTTTGGTGCCACAAACGTATTTGGAAGCTCATTACACTTAAGGACTCTTTCTCATAATAACATTTTTAAAACCAAATTTAAATCCATTGGATTTTAAGGAAAATGAGTTATCCTGAAATACAATATACACAATGTCCTTTTCCAACTCATAAGGCAGTAATACCTATTTTCTTTCCTGACATGTGTAACTAGAGTGATTGAGCATCAGATCTTGAGGATAATTTCAAAGTAGTGGCGACCATAAGTGGCGTTTTCAAATACATACAATGAGAACAGAATTGAGAACTCAGAAGTGGACCCAAAAGTATACAGCCAACTGATCTTTGACAAAGCAGGAAAGAATATCCAACGGAAAAAGGACAGCCTTTTTAACAGATGGTGTTGGGAGAATTGGACAGCAACATGCAGAAGAATGAAACTAGATCATTTTCTCACACCATGCACAAAAATCAACTCCAAATGGATAAAGGACCTGAACGTGAGACAGGAAACTATCCACACCCTAAAGGAGAAAGCAGGAAACAACCTCCTTGACCTCCACCGCAGCAACTTCTTACTTGACACATCCCCAAAAGCAAGGGAATCGAGAGCAAAAATAAACTGTTGGGACCTCATCAAGATTAAAAGCTTCTGCACAGCCAAGGAAACAACCCAGAAAATTAATAGGCAACCAA